AACAATTTTCGTGAGGGTCATTCTAAGTGGACCTTTATTGTTTTCGTTGCTCTTTGTAAATATGTTGGCTAATGGAAGGATTGAATTGGTTAGACCCTATACGGGTTTAGCTTGTGCATGTTTGGTCGGTAAGTAAGAAGGGCTGTTGAAATTTTTGATTTTGTTTTGTTTACTGCCATAGTATGATTGTTATAACATTAGGGGAGACGGAATTTATTTCTTTCTTTTGAATAATGTGAAGTAGTTCTTGGGGAATTTCTTCTTTGAAGTTTTATTGGATTTGTCTGCATTTGATTTATTGCTTAAATTAGTGTATCGTTGTGGTAGTCTGTTAGTCTATCACTCAGTTAATATAGTAAAAGTATCTAAGGCGTTTTTTATGTTATAGGTCGGCAAACGAGAAGACGGATTACCTGATGGTAAGCAATCAGCGCCGCCCATGGACACCCATGGAGAGCAACAGAGGAGTTACGAGTGCGTTGCCGACATTTTGGGGATAGCGGATTTGGTGATCTAGGGATTGGGGAGGGATTGGGGGAAGGGAAGGATTGTGCCTCCTCACTCATACGGCGAAACACAACGTTTTGGTTGTTTCACGCCGGTTTTCTGTAAGGCCGTGGTATCACTCCGGTCGACCCAACCCATTGGTGCCGAAGCATGGCTCTCCCACACTTGTATGTTTTAATTTCGTAATATATTAGTGTTTTACTTAATAAAGTACCACAAACGTTCGTGGTTAAGTTCAGGTCTAAAGACAGCCAAGCTTTAGGCCATGGGTTCAACTCCATCCAACTCCAATCATTATTGTGAATAACACAAAACTTATTAATTAGTATGTAATAACAAGTTCGGATAAGTAATATTCTCGTCACAATATTGGAAGGCTTACGATTAATTAAATTATTAATTAACCCTGCAACCGCCGCGTGCTCGTATAAAACATAACCTCACGGCTAATTAATCAAAAAATCCAATCAAAATTTTCGTTCAATTTTTAAAAACAAATGGGGGAATGGTAACCATTGCGCCCCCTACCGGCGTCAATTTGAAACTAAAGTGACTCATTACGTGCCCCTTTTTAGGTGGAAATATTCATACGATACTACACTTTAAAGTTTTACTATTAAAGTTGACATTCGATTGTATTTCAAATAGTCCTACGGAACCATACAGCGGTAATTGAACCATGCTTTCATAACGGTTTAATAGAGTTATTTTTAGATTTTTATTTTCATAAAGTACACTACACGGGTTGATTAACGTACCTATGTAAACTGGCTTGGTTTAATTTTGGATTAAGTTATACAAATCTGTAGCACAATAGAAAGACACGCGGCCATTTTAATTTTCGAATTTTGTTTGATTGTTCTTATATTATCACATATTACTGTTTGAGCGTGGTGTACGTTAGCCAACCGTGTTAGCAGCGGTTTAATTTTAGTTTACCCATTGTGTTTTTAGAAGTTATGGTCACTATAAATTGTGGTTTTGATAATTGCCATACTTTGGAATAATATTCAGACTTAAGTACTACACTACAACTGATTTAAATCGAAAAACGAGACTCAGAGATGGCGTTCAATATTTATGACGTCTTGAACAAGATTTGACACCAAAACACAATAAAAATATTACAAAATGTAATTATTTTGAAAATCAATCAAATTATACCCTATCCTTCCCCTCCACCCTCTCTCAACCCCTAAATCTCCGAAATTCCAATCCAAAAAAGGCCACCAACGCACTTGTATCTTCTGGTGTTACGGGTGTTAATGGGTGGCGCCGATCGCTTACCATCAGGTAATCCGTCTGCTCGTTTGCCGACATATCACAAAAAAAAAATACTGAAACCGCCCAATCTTAGCACACAAACCTCAAACACTAAAAGCAGTGCCTACACGCAAATACGAGCATATACAGGATAAATTAATTAGCAAACATAAGATTAAGTTCAACTAACGAGGGAACAAAGTTATAGTTAGGGAGATGTAATAAAATTAACCCTTGCAGTACTTCGGAAGTTGGTCTTTAGTATCGAAAAGACGGAAACTTAGGGTTAGCAAGGACATAGGGCAACTTGGGGGTAGTATATTTCTTACATTAAATTAATAGAACATTAAAAGGATTAATTTGATTTAGCTGTATTATTGAATACAAGTGACTGAATACTAAACTTCAACACTATATAATGGATGCTATTATACATATAAAACTTCCTCGGCAATCACTTTACATATAAAAAAAACACACCAAAATCCATTCCTTAGTTTTAAAGATAGATTTATAAGAGGATATGAGTTAGAGAAAGCGACATTACTTTAAGTACCTATACGTCTGTTATATGTAGTGGACTCTAGTTAAAATGTATTACTTTTTTATGCTTTGCCCTACTCTAGGATTTTCTCCTGTATGTGCGTTTACAAACATATGAATTCAATTATACAAGCCAACCAGACCCGAAACAACAATTCATGCAGAACACATATTATTTTTCCGTACGGAAATTGAACCCGCGACACGTTGCACAACAACCATTGCGCTCACCATGCAGTCAAAACTGTCACATCATTACGAAAAACCAATTACAGACAACAATGTACTAAAACATACCTACATATAGATACATAACACAATTCTTTATCATAACAGCAACCGAGAAAAAACTTCACCCGGGGCGTTGAGACTAATTTATAATTAAAATTGCGTAAAACCTCCCCTAATAATTAATGAGAAACAATAATTTTTCATACGCCCATTTTGATGACGGCACACGTAAAGTACGCCTGTAAATTTATCTATAAAAATTTTATCACCGTGATTAAAGTCGTGGGCTAGCGTTTTATTGTGTCTGGGGATATTTATACCCCGTGTAGCAAGCAAGGGTTAATGTATTGATACAGCAATAATATGTTATTTGTATTTCGTCGAGCTGCGATTAGAGACAAGAGTGATTGGTATTTTTTAAATTTTATTATTATTTTTATTTACTAGCGACTTTGTTCGCGTGGAATAGTGACTTCCTGCATGTTTTTGGTTTAAAAAGTATCCTGTCTCGAGTATGTCATTTCTTGAGTTCCAAACTATATCTGTACCAAATTTCACACAAATAAGTTCAGTAGTTTAGGCGTGAAGAAAATACAGAAGGAGTTACTCTCACATTTATAATATTAAGTTTGGATTGCTCAAATAATATCCAGCTAACTTTCTAATTTGCTGTATATCACCTAGCACACATCTCTGCACTACCAAAAGGATGACTGAAAGAAAATGCTTTTAGCACCAAGTCCTCTGATATGCAATTGTTTTTAAAGCAAGAATAATTACATATTGAATTTACAAAATATTAAAATACAACCGGCAAGCTTTAGCAAATTATAAAGCCAAAAATCCACACCTAAATCCATAAAAAAATTAAACTGTCAATGTCAAACATGACTTTAATCTCCAGAAAAAAGTCCCAATAACACAGACACCAGACGGATACCAAAAAAAAAAAATTAGAACGAAAAACAGAAATTCAGTTTAAAAAACAATTTCGAAAATGGAACAACTAGGGTATCGGCCGCAAAAAAGTGACAGTCCATTGACGAATGACGTCACCTCTCCCGTCACGCCCTCTGCGTATATTTTATTCGCCTCGTACATCAAGTTTGACGTGTGACACGGTGGCGTACCAATTCCGCGGTACATGGCAACAACTGGCGCATTTAGTAGAACGGGCTTTTTTTCTTTACAACGAGTAGTTTTTTATATGAATTTTTAATGTTGATTATTATCCAATATTATCCACTATATCCACTATTAGCTTATATTAGCTCATATTATCCACTATTAGCTTATATAATGATAAAAAAGAACATAAAATTAATAAATTTTCTATTAAATTTTTTCGATACACAATTCATCAAAACTGATTAGTCAAAGTATTTTATTTTTTATTAGACTATTAAAGGCAATTTCGTATGTCAAAAAAAGGCCTGTCAGTATGTCGGTCAAACCTTAAGTGAAACTTCTAAAAATACAAAAGTCAAAGCCAAAAGCAATTGGTGTAATTCCAAACGTAATGCGTATAGATATGACAACTGAAAACAGACGTTATTTAAAAAAAAATAAAAATGCAACCTGAATTCGTGAAATAGGCCTTTTACCCTAATATATCATAAGTAATATAATGTAAAATGTCGTTTTAATCAAAGCGTTCAAAAGTATCACTCACCAAATTTTAATCTGTTCCCACAATAACGCCTTAACAACACTCTGAAAAGAGAAAATATTTATTTTATTTATAATAAAGCAAAATTACAATGAATATTCAGTTACAATAAGTTAATTATATTAATGAATTAAATATTATTATATCGCATAATGTATGCTATATGTATATAAATCGTAGCAAGTACCCAGATTCGATGTCCGTGTCGAAGAAAGTCTTTGTCCTTATTTTATATTGTAGACATTCTAATATCTGTCTGTGTGTAGTAATAAATTTATTTAACAGTATTAGATTGAAACGAAATAGACTAATCAGTCTAATAGATAGTATAAAAGTCTGCCATCTTCAACCCTCTAAGACTATAAGTACACAGTATTTAAGAAACGGGTCGCATTTTTCAGGTATCAATCAAAGAGTTTAATGCAACTAAGATAGTCATTAGTCAATAATCTCACAACAAAATTCAAAATTCAACTCAGTATTGATAAACAGTGAATTTCGTTAGGGATTATTTAATTTTGTCGAGTTATGACCTTTTTGCATTAAATAGCATACTACTAGAAAAATATAAGTATTATAGAAATTTGGTTGCAATGAAATGTCAAAATAACTTCTTTTCAACTACACGAAGTTCCCAATAGACGAAAGGTAAATTGTTTAAAAATATATTTTTTTATTATTATCATTATGTTGATCTGTCTGTTACAGTTGGTACCGTGACAGGGCTAAACTATACGACTTTTATAAGCCATGTAAGGAGGGTTTACTATGACTTTTATGTCATATAATGGCAAACGAGCAGACGGATTACCTGATGGTAAGCAATCAAAGGAGGTACAAGTACGTTGCCATCTTTTTCTGGGTCATTAGGGACTAGCTACTCTCGAGCGGTTTCACCCGCTGCTCGGCTCCTTTTAATCGTAGCGTGATGTTTCATAGCCTACAGCAATCAGGAACATTGCAGCTATCTATCAGTGTAAGAATTTTGTCAATCTGACCTGCGGTTCCAAAGATTGCCCCTTACATACAAACTTATAAATTTTACCTCTTTATAATATTAGTATAGATTAAAGAATTAAAGGATTTGAGGATGGAGGAAGGGAAACGATTTGATCTCCGATAACCTCATTGACACTACAAAACACGACGTAGTATAGCTTTACACTGGTTTTCTGTGAAGCCGTGGTATCACTCCGGTTGTGTCGGCCCGTTCATGAAAAAGCATGGGTCTCCTACACTTAAAATAAAACCTTTTAAACAAAAATCGTTCTCCGTTTTCTTCCACAGTTTAAAAAGAAAAGAAAAATTATCCCAATTTAAGAAATAGCATAATACAAACCTACGTATTGTGTAACATTTGTAATTCGGTTGTACTGACAAAAAATGTTTATTTCCAACCGCATTTTTTCCAAACAAAATAATGTTCATGTAGGTTGAAATTACCATGAAAGTCTCGTAAACCTTCAGTCTGATATTCAGACGGGCAGTGGAAGTGTGAACGATGCTCTTGGGGCCAATCATTGGACATTGGCGTTGGTAATTGGGTTATTGGACAGAGAGATGGACAGGGTATCTGATAAACCACACTGTTAACTTGAGCCGTCAATTTTGTGTCGACTTGGGTAAGTTGTGTCAATGTTGCATGAACTATGAAAAAATAAATGATGTTTTTTTAGAATGATCGTCTCAAAATGCATGTTTGTCAATAAATATTGCTTTACTAAAAATGACTTTTTTTTTTTGAGAACATCTTTATATACTTCTCTTGCCGTGGGTAGGATGAAAGGGAGTGACAGACTGTTACTGACTAAAAACTGCATTTTCCTTCTCCAGGCCCGGGTCGCAGTACATTATTGTGATTAACCCGCTACCCCTAAATGTCATTGGATTTAAATAATGTTTATAATAATGCTACCTACTCTCGCGCGGTTGGCCCCGCTCTGTTCCTACAGATCGTAGCGTGATGTTTAATCCTATAGCGTATAGCCTTCCAACCTACCTACCTAACAAAAAATAATTGTTCAATTTGAACCAGTCGTTTCGGAGACTAGCACATTCAAAGAAACAAAGTAGTTTTATAATATTAAATTATACAGGTACAAGTGGATAATACCGGTTTTTCACACCTCTATCGTGCTATAATCCTGTCCTGATTCACTGCAATATGAGTAGGGGAAGCCGTCGAAATACACTGTTGAAAAGTACTTAATTGACTATTTATTTCCATTGACTGCGTTTGAAGTTGACCGATTTGGTAAAATGTTGATTAAGAAATTCTAATCCACTTTCTTATTTAATCTTTAGAAAATGAGCTTTTATATTAATTTTGCTTGAAATTATGTAGGTATGTGTTGAATTACAAATGTCTCTTCGAGAAAGAACAAAATGTTTTTTTTTATATTAAGGAAAGTACCAACTTTAAAAGTGATAGCAACTATCAATAGCGATCATTAATGGTAAAGGATTTCTGCTATGATCACTGATGAATTAAAATAATATTTTAACTAGCATACACTAAAGATGGTTAAAATAAATATATTATTATAGATCGAGGACCATTTTTGATTCTTAGTATAATGAAATAGTTTATTTTTTTTCGATATCATCTTTATCATTTTTGAGATAGGAAACTATTTTTTCTCTTTTTGTACCCAATTGTAATAAAAGAAGCTCACATAACATTGGCAGATTTATTTAAAATTTTAGGCATTATGTTAGGTATTATGTGTTCTTTCGATTGTATAAGTAATATAAAATTAATATTACTGCACCCACTGGGATGCCTTACCCCAAATTAGATTTTTTTTTATTGAGTCTTCGGTTTTGTAATCGAACCCACAATACATTGCACAGCAGCCTTCTGTCCAGGCACTGCATCTTTGGTGTAGTCAAACAACTATTATTTGTTAATTCTTATACCTTATTCAACACTAATAAATTCGTTCTGAAAATATTTTATTTTAAATGTTTGAGGTAAAAAGTGCTTAACTTTTACGTCTCAAAATAAGAGGAATTTTCAAGAATTTTTAGGTTTTGTGATCTTAAGTATTTAAAAATAAATTCCGTTGAAGTACACTTCGTTTGAAATTGAAAATAAATTCAGGTGAACTCAAATACAATAAAATTGGAGTCTCAAGTTGTTTCTTTTCTTCTAAGCTTATATAATTATTATCATCATCATCATTAGCCTGTCTCCGTGCTGGACATAGGGACCTATGTCCACAGTTCGACACTTCCCTCCAATTGCATGCCACTAGGCTCGATACTCATTCAACCACTGTCAGCCATCCTACGGATTTCGTCTATATATCTAGCTGATGATCGTTCTACACTACGTTTACCTAATTTAGATAATACAATCTAAAATTTTTTAGTAATCCCTGCCACAGGATAAAAAAATAGTTTTATCTATAAGAATATACACTGAAACAGATACAGATTGCCAAGGTCATTGACATCGTCTGGGATGAAGTATTAATTGGAAGAGAAGACCAAGAAAGAAATTAGCTTAACTCAGAATTTGGATTTTTTTATTTACAATATCACAAGACGTTTTCTTGATAGTTATATTTCTTTTTCACATGAGCTCCTAATAATTCCGATTTTTTGTATGACTTACTCACAAATTCTTTACTTCTCTGTTGTGAGAAACACGTTGAATCATCAGTAAAAAGATTAAATTCAAAGAGCAATTTAACTATACAATCTCTTAAAATGTTAAGAGTCAAATAAAATCAAAAAGAAAATCATAAATTACCATCATTTGAGGTTTTCTGGTAAACATTTGGACACCCCCAACACCAAAGGAGTTATAAGTGTGTTGCCAGCTTTTTATGGGTTGTTAGTGGATTTGGCGAATAAGGATTAGGGGATAGGGGATAGAAAGGAAGGATTGATTGAGAAGAGGATGTTACACTAACACTGCGAAACACAACGCAAATGTTGTTTTATGAAACAATGAAACAATGAATTTATTTTTGCAAATAGGCCATAAAACGGCACTTTTACACGTCAATTTATGTGTGAAAAACTAGATGAAGCCGGCATTTCCTATCTGACTACTCTAAGAAGAAATGCCGAAACAAACTCAAAGGACAGTCTCTTTTCAAGTCCAGACAATGTAAAAATAACATAACATAATTAAAACCTGTATTCTTTATTATGTAGACAGAAAATACTATTAAAAAATAAGTGACCCACTGATTACCAACCTTTCTATAATAACGATAACCCTATATTTATTTACGGGTCAAAACTGTAGAATCACAAACAAAACTTAAAAAAAAACTTTTCTTATCAATTCCTTTACACCTAAAACTAAAAGAATACTTAAGTACATACATTCAATATCCAATAACGTAAGTCCATTCACAGCACAGCACGTTAAACGGGACTAAACGTAAACGTTTACGTACGCGTTACGTTGTGACTTGCGAGCCAGCCCAACGTGCGCACTGTAGGGCGGGAGGACTTATACTGAAGCTTCAGACTTGCAGTTGCAATTTTCAGGAATGGATACTGAACTATGTTTTTTTTTCAGTGAGCATGGGTAATGTTAATTTTGTAACTGGTTTGAACTAGTTTTAGTTTGATTGATGTTTTATTTTTGGTTTGGTTAATAATAATAAATATTAGGTGTATATAAGTTTTCTATTACTTTCTATGACTGTTATTGGCTGTGTCGTTGGTCGTCAACAGATCTGGGGTCAGATCCTGGTTAGATTAAGTTTAATTCGGTTTCTTCAAGCTTTCTCAGTACATGGCATTTTTAGAATTGTACCCAGTGTATGGCACTCCTTATTACGTTTGACGCAAAACGTGGATTACCTACCTTTATTATAGACTAGCTACTCTTTCACTCGGTGCTTGTCTCCATTTAATTTTAGCGTGATGTTTTATAGCCTTTAGCACTTGGGAACATTGTAGCTATCAATAAGTGAAAGAATTTTGGGAATCCGACCAGCGGTTCCAAAGATTACCCCCTACATACAAACTTACAAATTTTACCTCTTTATAATATTAGTATAGAAATGTATCCCCTCAAACCCCATCGGAGATTAAAAGTTGTGACGATAAACATCTTGTTACATACCTACATCTACTGAAAAATCGAATTTCTAACAAAACAAAACAAAAACAAAACACAACAAAATAAACGAACAACTAATATTGTCTACAAATAAACAAAAAACTTTGTAACAAGTACATACCTACTTACAAAAAGCGAAACAAAAGTGCTTCCACTATTTCATTTCAAACCTTAAGTACAGTACGGATCCCAAGTATCGTTCCATTAGTGGCCTGTCACCGGCCTTTCAAGGGAAAGAAACGAATGAAAGAAAGAAAGAAAGAAAGAGAATCGTGAAAGAATGGCGCCCAAAAAACTTTTTCGAACTGGTGTACATGCGAATTGTGAGCGTAAACTAGTTCATGGGATATTGTGATTGGATGATAGAACAGGACATTATGTTTGAAATTGTTTTTTTAATGAGAAAGTTAGTATTTAGTTATGTAGTTTTGTGTATTCTTACACTATCAAAATATTACTCGACTTCCTAAAGTGAGGGAGAGCCATGCTTGGGCACGAATGGGTCGGCTCGACCGGAGTGATGCCACGGCCTTACAGAAAACCGGCGTGAAACAACCACAGCGTTGTGTTTCGCCGTGTGAGTGAGGTTACCGGAGGCCCAATCCTTCCCCTCCCCCGATCCCTCCCCAATCCCCTAATCTCCAAAACTCTAATTCCTAAGAGGTCGGCAACGCACTCGTAACTCCTCCGTTGCGGGTGTCCATGGGCGGCGCTGATTGCTTACCATCAGATAATCCGTTTGCTCGTTTGCCGGTCTATAACATGAAAAAAAAGCCAGTCTAGACTATTTTTTTAAGGGTAAGTAAATCCATGCAATACTAATTTGCATGTATCAATAATATGTTTTGAGAACTATTTTACAACTGTTTATCCGTTTTTGTGAATATGATAGGTTACTTCTTTACCATAACCAATTGTCAAGAATAATATTAATATTACAACGCATAGCTTCTTTTTTTAGCCAAATTTTTGGTTTCAAATATCTTACACCTAAATCTAAACACATCAAAACAGCCCCATCTATAATACCTCAAACTAATCTGATTTTTACAGCCTGAATTTGTCCATACCTACTCCAGTTTTCCTTTTTTCAATACATACAATGTTTATCGCAGTACGCATACACGGGGACCGAACCAGGCGATTCTAATCAGTCTCCTTGTCGGCACCAAACAAATGTTCGGGTATCTCATCCTAATGCACCTTCGGGGCTCCAATCAGGAACTTCCAGATTTACGGGTATACCCAGATTTATTGCCGATAAAATACACCAAACCATTTGCAAGATACAAGAACAAGGATTTGCATGTCAAGGACTTTAGACCTTGGAAATAATTGCCGAGAAAAAAGATAGCAATAAGGAATGGTGGCTTGGGATGGAGCTGATAAACTTTACAAGTTGGTTATTACTTTTAAGTGGGGTTGGAGATTATTTACTTTGAGTCATAAGTATCTACATACTATACAGTAAGTACCGGTCAGTTTAGTTTCGGTCTTTGACAAATATCTACAGAGCATTTATTAATATGTTCGGGAAAGGAAATTTACTTTTCCAATATTTATTTCATACTCATTTTTTCTATAATTTTAACGTTTAATTCTTCACTGAAATTCCATGAATATTTTTAGCCATTTATTTTATACATATTATATAAGAGTAGATATGCATTTTTTTATATAATAGATCGGTAAACGAGCATACGGATTACCTCATGGTAAGCAATCAGCGCCGCCCATGGACACTCACACGGCGAAACAGAACTCAGTGGTTGTTTCACGCCGGTTTTCTGTGAAGCCGTGGTATCACTCCGGTCGAGCCGACTCATTCGTGCCGAAGCATGGCTCTCCCACACTTGTACGTACCTGTGAGTAAGTAAAAATAAAACAAATGTAATATAAAATATATAAGACAGGCTAGTAAAAAAGTAATAAAGTTTTACCTACTAATAGTAGTAATAAGTAAATATCCTGGATATTAATTTCATGATTGTAAAGTATAGAATAGTAAACCATTTTGTCATTAAGAGTCATCTCTTAATGACAAAATGGTTCAACATTCTCATGAATGTAGATATTGTTGATTAATTATATTTCAGAAACTTTTTTTTTGTAATAATTTGATCTTTCTCAATGATATTTCATCACAACTTCAAAGTTTAAACTTTCGTATCATTTTATCTTGAGAAACTAATAAAATACTCTATCAAGTTTAACAATAAAATCATTATCAAAAGAAGTAATTTAAAACTTATTTTCTTCTCTTTAGACTTCAAAATTGCAGCAATTTTCAAGAATCGATACAAGGTATGTACGGCTAACGTTAGATATTAAATTCTTTGTAGACGTCTCATATGTCTTGAGTTTTGAGGCTCATAACTGAACGTTTGGTTGCAGCAGAATTTTGTGAGTCACGACCAGACTCGACGATTTTACCAGAAGACATGCCACATGTTATAAAATGAATAATAAATTTATCCGTGTTAAAAAATAAAACACGTTTTAAATTATAATATAGGTACGGTAAAAAAATCGGCGACGTCCTTGGACACCCGTTAGACCAATGGAGTTACAAGTGCGTTGCCAGCCTTTTAGGAATGATCTGTTTTGGGGATTTAGGGATTGGGGTAAGGAAGGGGAAGGATTGGGTCTCCGGTAACCTTACTTTCACGGCGATACTCAATACTGTGGTTGTTTCTGTGTATGGTCTAGCCGGCCCATTTGCGCTGAAGCATTGCTCTTACACTCAAACTTATTGATTTAAACCCTGCAAAATAAAATTCATCAAAAATTCTGCAATCAAAATCGAATAGCAGCACATAGCATTTGCAAATTGAAAATACTAACTGCAAAATTACCCAAATGTTAAGCTCCTTAATCAACTCACTTTTAAAATCGAAACCCAATTTTCCAAAACAAAGATCTTGCTAAACTCGAAAATCTTACACACACATCTTCACGTACGAAAACACATAAATCAATGGGAGTTATGAACGGAAAACGCCGAGCTTGTATGACACTCGAATGTGAATAAAATATTGTATGAAACAGCGGCCATATTTCTTAGAACACGGTTTGTGACGAAAAATGATGGGAAATAAATAAAGACTGTGTATTGGTTCCCGTATTATTTAGTTGTAGAATTGATCGTGGGTGTATTTGAACTGTTGGATACAAAATGGGGTTGAGTTTTTTTTTGAGTTAGTTAGAACCTTGTAAATTTTAGAAATGTCGATTGCCATTTTGATCGAGTTTTTGAAAGTGCGTCTTCCGAGGAAGGCGTTCGTTTGTTCAACTCCGAAAGCTGGCAGATGATGATGTTAAGAGCTTGTTTTGGTTGTTTTTATTACTGAGCTTTAGGGAAGTTCTGTGCAAAACCACCTTGCGTATGAGGATCAAAATGTGAGATAGTACGTTTATGTTATATCTCCAAAAATAATCTTCTTATTTTAATAATATTATCTGATGTTTCGTTGCAGGGCCAAAGACAGTCATTCATGTCCCAGGGACACGCTGGACTTCAGTGTTTTGGTGTTTTCATGTTGCATCTAGGTACTGTAAATCCTGGCTTATAGGAGTTCCACCGGAGTTGGTAAGTTGTGGCGAGCTTATCCTAAATCAAAATATTATAAAAGTTCAAATTTGACTATCAAAAATTTTTCTTGTAAATATATAATAGCAAATAACATTGTATTTTTATTTACTTATTATATTTAATTTTCCCCCACACTAGTCTATTGTCCTGTGTCGTGGGTGCGTTTATAAAACATACAATTTCACAACCTAAAAATAATCTGTAGACCACAAAAACCATTGTTCCGCGCGGCAATCGAACCAGCAACGCGTTACACGGCAGCCAAGCAACGCGTCAACCATGCAATACTCTTGTAACAACCTTTATGATGTCATAATAAGCTTCCAAATAAACACAACTCAAACAAGAATATCTTCACGCCAACGAAACATCTGACAGTCGACAGTGAGTTAGCCTCCGGGTATGTCTTCCTAATCTGTCATCTGTCAAGATGAGTAAAATGTCAGAAAGCCAAGAAATGACGTTCTTGGTTTTGATGTAAGTTTGTATATGTATTATTTATCTTTGTAGGTACATAACTAGATATACATATATAATACCTACTGTTTATTATTATCTAATTTGGGATGCAACGACCAATAATATTTTTTTAGTTCCCCGTACCACTATGGTATAAATTAAGAGTGAGTGAGGTTACCGGAGGCCCAATCCTTCCCCTCCCCCAATCCCTCTTCAAACCCTAAACCTTCAAATTCCTAATCCCTTAACGGTCGGCAACGCACTCGTAACTCCTCCGTTGCGGCCGTCCATGGGCGGCGCTGATTGCTTACCATCAGGTAATACGTCTGCTACCTTTTAGGGATTAGGGTTTTGGAGATTTAGGGATCGGGGAAGGGCAAGGATTGGGCCTTCGGTAACTTTAAAACCCAACAATTTCAAATTTAATTAAAAAATATTTACTATTTTTGAATAGTAGCTCAAAAAATGTCTACTAGTTTCATGTCACCACGGAACTCTCATTCATGAGCAGCGTGCGTGCCGCGGCGATGTCTCCATCTGCATCATTTTCGCTAACAAACATACAGACATTCGAAGGAGCTTTGTTATAATATGTAAGGAAGCAAGGACTATCTTCTCACTAACCCAAGTCATCTTGTATGGTCAAAGTGCACAACTCAATTTGTATCCCTAGTCCTCGTATCTTACAGTTAGTTCGGGTCGTTAAATTTTCAGGCTCTTGAGATGCGGACAACTGTTACAGATTTACGCAAACATAAATTGATTTAATATGCTCCGCCAAGATCCTGGAGTAGCTCCGTTAATGGAAAGAGTAGAAGTTATGAAGATAGATTTATTGCAAAACTTGAACATATCATGAAATTGGGAATGTAATGTGAGTCAAGCCTTATATTTAAGAGAGAGAGTTTAAAATAGTTTTAGACCTTCATAATATGGCATTTCTCTGATAGGGATGCATTAAAACTCTTTCCAAAAACTTTTTGAGTATCATTAAATTGCTTTTCGTACCCTTGGTGGGACGAGAGAAAGAGCCAGGCTCTTTATGACTAATAAATCACTCGCGTCTTCTTCGTCTCCGGTATTTCTGTGAAACTAAAGACTTCATGTTGATATAAACCTACAATCACACGTGAAACAATATAAAATTTATATGTTGAATCACAACAAACTGTAACTCTTTCACAAGAAAATATAAACACTTTATATATGATACCTACGTAAACATTCGAGACGGCTCATAACCTTATTCTTCCCGAATACCAAAATGTAACAGAAAATAAAGTAATATTTTATCGTTACTAACCCCCGTTTACATATAACAAAGAACGTGATCTAATTTGAACCCGCTCCTGTCTGCCTTAGGCCTAATCTACGCTATGTCAGTACCGATAAACACTGACACACTATCTTCCATCCCTTTCCATCATCGTGGTTTGACGTCAATTTGTCCTTGTCTTTTTGGGATGTGGTTCTCAAATATTGCTTTTTTTTGCTTTCGTTTTCTAGTATCACCACACACGGTGATACTTTCCTAAGAGAAAACACTTCCTAGTAGAATAGTGGATTGGTTATCTAAATAAAAAAATAGGCACATAATAATAATTATTTTGTCATTAATAAAACTGGTATTTATATTATGATGACGGTTTTTAAAAAACTTTGGATTTGCAGAGCAAGTACAATAAAATATAGTGGATTCAAAATTTTCCTAACAACGAGAAGTTTTGTAATAATTTCGTGTTCAGGACAGCATTTTCAGGTCTTTGTTTCTATTTCTTAATTAATATTTGTTCATATTCAATTTTGTTGTGTTTAATACAAAAAAAAAACATATGGGAACTGTAACCACACTTTGAGCACCGCTGTAATAGTTTACACATCTATCTTTTGTCCCAGGACACTTGGTTGTGTTGCCTTCGGCTTTTCAAAGACGACCATAAATAAACCCCGCCCACTAATTAACCCATTCATCATTCAATTCGAAGGGAATTTTAATTTTTCACGACTTCAAACATTTTAAATTTTTATGTTCTAACAAAATGGTTTCATTATGGACTTTACGGATTGTTATTTACGATCCAATATCGGTTTAAATTGTTTGGGCGCGACTACCGAAAATTATTGGAGTGATGACGTCATTTGGTTCACCATGAATTTTATGGTTGGCTATAAGTAAATTTTATTTTTTAAGAATTCGGTAGAGATTTTAGGTTTTATCATTTCAATATATTCTTAGCATAATAGTTTTATATATAACACTGGAATTTGAAATTATGAATATGTTTTCTCTGAGGAGCATGCAGGAGATGTCGAAAGATAAGTTTCTTGGCATCCATACATTACATGGCATCATTTCTTGTATTGCAATCAAACCTTCATTTATACGGAATTGTAAAAGATAAACTCCTTATGACTTTAAACCTGCTATTTTTTAGCGAATTGTTATTTAAGTTTCAGCAAAATTTGACAAGTCCTGCCGTATTGCCATGGTTGGCAACAAAAAAACAGCCGAATAATACCCTGATTGATCCAACCCCATATCTTTAGCCAATCAAAGTCAAAGTCAAACTTATTTATTCCAACTAAACCATAAATAGGTACTTTTGAAACGTTAAAATAGAACATTAGTCTGTCAGTCTGTTCGTCAGCGAAGCTAGGCTCATTCCAAATTGTAGATTCCAATGAAGAAGAACAAGAAAGAAACTCCATCGTTACTCTTGTTTAAAAATAATATTTGTTTCACACTTAGGTCCTTTAACCAAAAAGACGGATATATCGATATATTAATACATCCATATCGACCTCTAACGCCATCTACTAAACAAGTATGAAACAGCACCTCATAACTACTCCTACATCATTACCACTGTAATTGAGCTGACAAAGGGGAAGTGTACTGTGAAAATGTACATTAGCATCAAATATGCACTGAGATACATGTTAACAGCACTTAGATCCTACATAACCAACAAACTTCAAATGAGCGTAATTTTAATGAAAGCCTAACATCACCCTTCATAAATATAAAGCAAACTATCAAAGTTTCTATTCAGAAATTCAAAGGTTTATGTAATATTCAGTTAGGAATTACATATTGTTTGTCGTGTGTTGTTCTTGTTTGTAGTATTTATTGTTTTAGGATTTCAGTGTTTATAATAAAATTGCAAATTTTAAGCTTTGGAGAGCTATGCTTTGGCGCCAATCTCCAATAGTTCCAAGCGCTTTTACAAAAACGTGTGCGTTGTGTTCCCTGTAGGTGTGGTAAACCAATCCCCAAAAACCATAGGCCGATAAGGCATTCGTAATTCCTCTGTTGTTGCGGCTATCCGTGGGTTCTGATTGCTAACGATCAGGTGATCTATCTGTGTGTTTGCTGCTCTATGTCATATGAAATAATAATTTCGTTGTCGGAGAGCACTCCTCATCCCGAATCAGTCAGCTCGACTGGAGTGATGTTACGGCTTTATAGAAAAACCAGCGTAAAACTACTACAGTGTGGTGTTTCACCGTGTGAATGAGGTTATCGGAGGTCCAATCCATACTCTCCTCCAATCCCTAAATTTCCAAAATCCTTATCCCCAAATGGGTGGCAACGTATTTGTAAATCCTCAGGTGTCACGGGTCTAAACGGGCGGTGCTGATTGCTAACCATCAGATAATCCGTCTGCTTGTTTGCCGACCTATAACATAAACAAATTCAAAGTAAAAGATTAAGTAGGAACTTTGAATACTGGTACACAATAAATTGACCCTATAATGAAGAATAAAATTACTGTTCGAAGTGGGTTTTATAACAATACACATTTCCAACAATACATTTGAGTCTGCGACTGATAATAATCGACTGCGACTACAGATTCAGATTCATCACAATATCTAACTAATACCTAACATCCTACAATAGCTTGATTTCTCCAAATTATCAACATTACATAATGCGCTGTTGTCAGATTATCTAATTGTACAATCCTGTACACGGTGTCTGCTGGCGCCATTATGTGGTTGATCTCCGACCGCAAGACACGCCGCACGGTCGCAACGTGAATGGGTCGCCTTAACAATGCCGTAAACAGCCTTAGACGACGCACGTTACTCGGTACAATAAACCGTTGTGGGCGCTGCTCATAGTTTACTGAATCCGGGATGAACATAAGACTAAATGGGTATCAACCCGTATTAATCACATGTAGCTTCGTAGATTGATTGCGTTCGTAATTAATCTGGATTGTAATAACTTACAGCTAAATGACTGATCTGATATTGAGATTTGTCATAATTCTTATCATAGGCATTGTGACTGACTGACTGAGCTGACTGTGAGACTGCAAAACTCTTATGCAGGTACAGGTTTAAGATCCAGCATGGCTCTGTCAAGGGCTCTTGTTGAGAATTGACTGATGCGGCGCTTTTGAGTTTATCACAACACATGAGAAAATCTTAATGGTCTTGTGTGTATCTTTTTATAATTACGTTTACAAGTAGCTTATTTAATGAGATAATAGCTGACCTAACGAACTTCGTACCGCCTCAACATTAACTAAGATATCCATCTAAGGTTCCATCCAAGGTTTAGTCATCCAAGCCATCCAAGGTTTAGTCATTGATAAGATATTTGCTGGTTTTTATGGGAATTAAAATTAACGTGTTTACAAGTTTTATGCATTCTATGTCCTTTCTATTAATCTTCCTTAAAGTTTTACAAATATTTGTAGACTAATTATTAGCCTAATCGATTCAGCGGTTACCGAATTTCAGCGAAACCGAAAAACAGATAATACATTAAAAAATGTAATGTAAAACAATACCTACATATCTATATGTATGTATTCCTTTAACATGAAATGTATCGCATAGGAA